TTCATGAGTAATAACAGCATGTTTATGTTGCTGCTTCACAGGGCCAGCTCCTGGAGTCAGTCTGAGGGTGTTGGGTGCCCCCAGCCTGTGGTCTCAACTACTGGAGCCAGCGGGGTCTTGAGCCTCTGGCTGCTGGGGCTGCATCCTGAAAACCAGCTACTGGGGGGCACCAGTGTGAGTGAGGAGGGCAGAGTGGTGATGCCAATAGTCAGGGATCTGTGAATGTGCGTGTGCTTGTGAACCTGGGTAGTGTGGTGTGAGTGCTGCGCTAGTGACCTTCTGCCTCTGCCAGCCCAAAAGGAGAAGGGGACATGGCTGTCTGTGCCTGGGTCTGGTGGGAGTCTTGGATGTGGGTGCTGTTGGAGGCAGCGCCTTGTCTGTGGCCATGGGTCACTGGCCACAACTGGTCCAGACCCTGGGTCCTCAGGGGCTCCAGTGGATGGCCAGGAGGGTCCTGGGCTCAGGACTCCACTCACTGGAGTCAGTGGCCATTCCTAACTTTCCTTAACAGTTTGTAAGCATGAGACTATTTACTTGTATTCTAATATCTCGATAGGAATAAGAAAATGTACCAAGTTCTTCTTTAAATAAATAAACCTTAACAAATATATTATGCAGACAATCTATCACTAAATGCAGAAAACCTTAGCTATGAATTCATTTGCATGCTGGATTAAGGAATGGCTTAAGTACAAAAGATAGGGTGGAGTATTTTACCATGCTATAGCCTCAAACTTTTAAGAGAACACTTCAATAATTCATATTACCTACATTTATGAGAATATACGTACATACATCTATATATACTTACAAAGCAGGCATATTTATATAAAATATTTCAAAGAGCACACCAGGGAGAAATGTTCTGTAACAAACACATTGGATACTTTTTTCCTTTTTTTTAAAAAGAAAATACTATACTTTCTTAACTAGGTTTTGCTATTTATCTATTATACAAATACAAAGACTACAAGCACTCACATTCTGAAAATCAAACTGTTGCTGTGCATTGTATATGTCTAGTGAAAACATAATATGAAGATCAGATGCTTTCTCAAAATAGTTATCTACATCAAATTAACAGATAATGAATGTTGTCAAATGTTTTATGAATGTATGTGAAAACAAAGTGGCTTGTAGTAATTTCCACAACTTGCAAAATGCTACAAAATAATCTTGATGGATTTTTTTTCTCAATAATTCCTACTAAACTGAAGAGGAAGGAGATTAGATAGATGGGCAGACAGACAGACAGATTTTCAAGTTACAGACATCTCAGACACGTATCTTAAAAAGCAAGAAGAATTCCCTAAGAGAAAAAGTGTGATCTTTCCATATTTCTGCTTTTATTTACAGTATTTACAATAGGTTGTCCAGGATTTCTTTCAATATTTAAAAAGTATGCATCTATGAGAATGAAAAATATAAAATTAAAACAAATATGGTTCAAGTGAAGCATGCTGTGAGAAACATCTTGCTAGAGACTATAAAAAAAAAAAAAAGCCCAGAAAAACAAGGACATCTTTGAAGTTCACCAGACCAAAAAGAGTAACTTCATGTAGCCACGTTAAATGATATTCCTGTGAAATAATGATATATAAGTAATAAACCACATTTGATAAATCATATTTGAAAAGAAAAGAGGATTATTACAAATGATTGAAAGCCATTAAAGAAAAGGCAAGATAAGCAACATGTGAGTTTAAGGAACAATGACCGGACACCTCACAATTTCACATTTCAAAAGTTTAATTTTTTAAAATATCTCTGGTGATATGAAAGATCTTTCAAAAAATATCTAAATAATAAGAGGACTTTTAATATTGCTTGATGTAGACTAATGATGCACCTCACCTATTTACCATCAGAGCATGTTTTGCAATAAGTTTTATATCAAATCACAAGATTAATGGAAAACACACATTTAATATCAGCGCTTCAGTAAATCAACTTTTCCCTTTCTTTGTTAATGGCCTGTCCTGTTTTTCATGGAAGAGTTTCTTGCTGATGTAATTTTTCATTTGTTTTCCTTTGTATTTATTTAAAGTCTGTGATCCAGGAAATAATGAACTAATGAACTTTGATTAACTAATCTAGGACTAGTCCAAAAAGTAATATAAACCAGTGTTTTTGAACGATGATTAGCCTGAGAATTTTGTTATCTTTAGTTTTCCTTTTCTGCAGATTCTCTTTGTCCCTTATTATTCTACCTCCTAGGTAGACAGACAGGTTAGAACACCTCACGAGAGATCAGTCAGTATTCTGCCATCAATATAACACTATTCCATTATTTATACCAGTCTCCTCTTGCTGTGCAAATACATTTTCCTCATCATAGTCTTCTATGGCACTATCTAATAGACTGTATACCTCATGTTTTATCACATTTTTTGTTCTGCATTTGGGATTCCAACACAGCTGCAAGAAGTCAGTGTTTTAGCATTCTTACAAATTGGTGTATGTTCAATTCTTGCATTTACTCATTTATTTCAGTCTAGTATTCTCCTTTATATGTGCACCTAGACAGCTTTTGTATACTACTAGATTATTAAATCCTGCTAATCCAAATTACAAAAGTCAGTGTGATGACATGAATGGGTAAGGTGAATGGAACACTATCAGAGCATATACCTCAAATCTCTAGTACATTTAATTCTATTAATGTAAACATAGAGAGAATCAGTTTCTGATATGCTCCTTTCAAATTAAATGAATAAATAAACTAAGATGCATGGAAACAGAGATTTAAATGAGGTTTTGTACATTTAGGAAATTACAATTACAAAATGATCTAACTTTGTTCCTTTTAATTTTATCCAGTTAGTACTATGCTGCATTAACTTTTCACATATCAGCCATATCAGTCACTGGCTGCTGGAGTTTAATTTAATCACCTCTTTTTATGGAAAGGAAAAAAACTACAGAAGAGATTTCAAAACAAATGTGATTTAGCATGCTAGGCTACTTTTTATGTGATGGGCCGCAGTGCTTTCAAATACTTTCACAATACTACCACTTACCTACTGTTTTATATTCTAGCTAATAAATTGCTAATTTGCTTAGTTTATCTAGTTCTTATATGTAACTGTTTCATATTTGGTAGCAAAGACTGGGAGACATTAAAAATACATCACTTTGAATTGCAATCATCCACATCAGCATTTCAGTGGGGAAAGTTGTCGAATGAAAATAAAATAAATTAATTGTTGAGGACAGATAATATCAGCATCGTGTCATGGCCCAAATATTGAAACGTGCTTTATGAAGTGACTCTTCAAAACACAAGAACAGCACCTAGGTCTCCTCAATTGATGCGCAGAAGCAAGACTTGCTGGTCCTAAAAGCTAGACAATGACACAATGGCATCATGAGATGGATGAACTGAGCAAGTGGACACCACACAGCTGCAGATCTGAATTATCGGGAATATACGTTACATCAGCTGTAACAAAGGCTCCTACTATGTAGATGCTGCTCTGCCATACCAGGGCCCCTCTGAAAGCAGTTTTTACCTTCTGTAAATGTATATAAACTCTTGTACTTTTGTTTTCAGTTGGAGCTCATATTAACAGAGGGCTGAAATAAACTGCTTCTGCCTAACCTGAATTGGCAAAATGGGCTGTGTCAATGCCGGACCAGTGCTACACTCTGGGCGGTTTTCCTGAATATTTCTGTATTTGCTTTGCTGTGTGCACCAGGAATCAATCTGCATGGTAAGCTAGAACAAATACAGCTGAACCTAAAATGGGTTTATGGCCGTTTCCACTACCACAATCCATAAAGTGTTCATCACTATTTGTCCTAAGTAAGAGAAAATTTGTATTTCAGATATTTTATGATCCAAAGGCAATGTTCTATGAAAATACACACCTGACATTTAGCTACACAAACATTTATAAATGTTAAAAGGACAAAAATAATCCACAGCTATAAGAATAAAATGAACCTATTGGTTCTTTCCTTAACATTTTTCCATTCTCTCAACATTTCTTTTTCACAAAAGCACGTATGTCATGCACCTTTATCATTGGTGTAACTTTATGGGAGAAACATGCAATGTCTTTTTGCAGATGATATTACCACAGCTATTTAGCAAAACAACTGCAGTGACTACACCTAGAAACAGTTGTAAAATACTGAAGATCAAATTTTATGGTTTTTTTTTTTTTTTTTAAATACAGTTTATTTTACAGTAGAGCTAATGCTTCTGAAGGCATATTTTCCAGTCTAAATATAGACACTTAAGTGTAAGATACTGTGGACTGTTAGTGAATTTCAAGGAAAAACAGCAATAATACCCTTTCTGAGTATATAGTCTTATAAAATAGCTATTTTGTTTCATTCCATTCAAGAAATCAGTGGATTTGACTTCTTAGTAGAAATAAACACACATCGTCATAATTCTTATTCCCAACAAATAACAGCAACATACTTTAATAAAATTTCCACTGCTTCCTACTTTTCTTCTCAGTAAAATGAGGATAATTTCACCTTCCTTTAGCTGTTGACATAGTACTCTAGTTTAAGCTAGTTGTCTAGGCTTTTTCTCTAGATGATCAATAAATGTGTGCATCAGAAGAATATGAACCATCCATAATATTTCAGACTAGAACTTACAGACAGAATACACTGCATATTAAACTGCCTGTTTTTCATTTATTAGTAAAAGTGCATACATATTTGACTTATAAATCAGGCATAATTTTTGGAAAGCTAAAACTAAGGCAAGTTAATGTCACTAGATCTTTTGTTAACATTCTTTTTGGAAATTATAATCATTGTGAACAAAGAATGAACTCAAAACTCAGTTTCTTTTCTCCTCTAGTACTATATTTTTCCTTAAATATGAATAGGTTTTCATTGGACCAAAAGTTTTGGCAGTATATCTTGACTGACTTAGACACCCCCACCCCAGTCTTAGAATAGAAAGTTATTTCACTACTTTCTAATAAGGAAAATGCAAAATATAACTTCATGAAGTAAAAAATATTCTCTAATACCTTTGTTGTTATCCATTCCTCCAACAGCATAAAGTGTCCCAACTGTAGATTTTCTAGGTTTAGTTCTTGGACTTTGCATAAGAGTTCTTCTCTCTGGTAAAAGATGGTATTTCATGGCTTCCAGAATAAGCTTCTGGCATTCTAGGTCATCCTTAAAAAGCACATGGTTTTCTAGGTCAGCCAATATCTGTGAATGACACAATCGTGAATCAAATATGGTAGAAATTCCTAGAAAAGCAATACCGTGCAATGAGAAAAGATCACAAAACGGCTGTCACTTCATATATCACTTCATTGTAGAAAACAGGGGTTTGGAGGGCTATGCTTTTTGGAGGAAGCACAGGAAAAGAAGTATTTAGTTAATTTTTAAAAGACTATAGGCAACTTTTACATCACTGTTTCACCATCACTTAAGACTACAATCTTACTACTAGCTTATGAAAAACATGGAAGAAAAATACTTATGCTCTTGTAGGCTACAGCCTGACTTATTTTTAATGGTTAGTGGCACAACATTGCAAGGATCCAGAAGCCATCTCTTTGCAAGGAAGCATCTTGAATGTGCAGTCATATAACATGACATCATTCTACAGTATATTATGCAGGTCCAGGAAAATCCCTTAGTTTTAAAATCAAACCAAACCAACCAACCAAAAAAAATTCCAACCTAACAGTAACAGCAAACCCCAGAAAAACCAAAACACACAAATAAAAATACCTTCCCCAAAAAGAACTGTCTTGTGCAATTTTTGAATCTGTTGGGTTTCCCCCCCCCCCCCCCCGTATTATTAGCAAAATTCACTTGCCTGTATATCTACTGGCTTTTGAGATGCTGTAAATCACCCTACAAGATTTCAAGATCCCATTGGACTAAGCAACCCGGTATAACCTCATAGCTGACCAGCTTTTAGCAGGAAGTTGGACTAGAGGCCTCCTGAGGTCTACTCCCATCTGAATGATTCTGTGATTCTGTGATCTCACTGATACGACGTCAGAAGAATGCCATGCTTATGCAGATTTTGTGCCATATCCACGAGACCCACATAGATATCTCAGATATCCTAAGGTATCAGAAGTCAATCAAGCAGGATAATTTAGTTCCCAGCATATACATCCCTCACAGACACAAATATACAAACGTATGCAAACTGCTTTGCAGTTGCCTGATCAGGCAGCTAGATTCCTCTAAGGACTCTCAGCTAGTTCAACTGGACTTCAACAGCTGCTGAAGAATACATGAATATCCTTTGTCAATCTGTCACTCTTTTGTAGATAACACATGTGTTCTCTGACATCTAAAATATTAATAGCTTGTACATGTAGACAGCAGACTCCTGCCTCTGATTTTAGGTGTCAGTATTGAAATGAATTTATTCAGGTCCAAAGAAAGGCATTAAAGACTGCAGTAGCTCAACTGGTGATCCAGAACTCTTATTCTACATGGATGATGACACAACGGAAAATAGACCTGCTTATTAAAAGTGAATAAGAAGGTTCACCTAGCCTGACAAAACATGTCTCTTACTGTGGCCATAAGTCATTGTAATTCCCCTTAATATTGCCCCAACTTTCAACTTTCATATGAGAGATGTTCTGAGGTGGATGTCTGTTCCATGCATTTTGTAATTCTCAGGGAGCTTATCTTTCATGAACTAGTTCAATCTTCCTTTGAACTTTTGTAAATTTTTTGCATCTACAGTATGTTTTCATAGTGAATTTGGCCAATCACTATCTCTACAAGAAGGTTAACCTCCCAGGTTTTTTTTTAAACAGGTTCCTGTTGCTTTATTTGCTTTCACTCAATTTGTTTCATTAATTTCTTTCATTCAGTGTCGCCTAATTCTTCTATTGAAAAAAGTGCATCTACATGAATGCACGCAGCATGGGCAACAAACAGGAGGAGCTGGAGACCATCATGCAGGAAGAAAACTACGATTTAGTTGCCATCACAGAAACGTGGTGGGATGACTCGCATAACTGGAGTGCTGCAATTGATGGCTACCAACTTTTCAGAAGGGACAGGCAAGGAAAGAGAGGAGGTGGGGTGGCCCTTTATGTTAAGAACAGTCTTCTATGCCTAGAACTTAGCAATATGCATGATGACAGTGTCGAGTGCCTGTGGATAAGGATCAAGGGGAAGACCAGTAAGGCAGACATTGTGGTGGGAGTTTGTTATAGACCCCCAAACCAGGATATAAAGACTGATGAAGTATTCTATAGGCAGGTGACAGAAGCCTCACGATCACTCTCCCTTGTACTCATGGGGGACTTCAATTTCCCTGATATCTGCTGGCAATATAACACAGCAGAGAGGCAACAGTCCTGGAGATTCTTGGAATGCGTGGAAGACAACTTCCTAACGCAACTGGTGAGGGAACCGACCAGGGAAAGTGCCCTACTGGACCTGCTGATAGTTAACTCGGAAGGTCTTGTGGGGGATGTAAACGTTGGAGGCCGTCTTGGACAAAGTGATCATGAAATGATAAAATTTTCAATTCTCACTGAAGCAAGGCGGGGGACCAGCAGGACTGCCACCCTGGACTTCCGAAGGGCAGACTTTGGCCTCTTCAGGAGCATGATTGGGGGTGTCCCTTGGGAGATGGTCCTCGAGGGCAAGGGTGCCCAGGAAAGCTGGTCATTCTTCAAGGAGGCACTCTTAAAGGCGCAAGATAAAGCTATTCCCAAGTCCCTAAAATCAAGCAGGAAGGGAAGAAGACCAGCCTGGCTAAATAGAGAGCTTCGGCTGGAACTCAGGAACAAAAAGAAGGCTTATAATCTTTGGAAAAAGGGCCTGGCAGATAAGGAGAAATACCATGAAGCGGTGAGGATATGCAGGGGGAAAATTAGAAGGGCCAAGGCTCAAGTGGAGCTCAGCTTGGCCACCAATATTAACAATAACAAAAAGGGGTTTTTTCAGTATGTTAACAGCAAGAGAAAGGTGAGGGATAATGTGGGCCCACTGATGGATGAGGTGGGCACCCTAGTAGTGGAAGACACGGAGAAAGCAGAGTTGCTGAATGCCTTCTTTTCTTCAGTCTTCACTGTTAGGACTACCCCTCATGAATCTGTGGCCTTAGAGGCAAGGGGGATGGTATGGAGAGAGGAAATTTTTCCTCTAGTAGAGGAGGGCCAGGTTCGGGACCACTTGGCCAAACTGGACATTCATAAGTCCATGGGGCCTGATGGGTTGCACCCACGAGTGCTGAGGGAGCTGGCAGACGTTATCGCTGGACCACTCTCGATCATCTTTGAGAAGTCGTGGAGAACAGGAGAGGTGCCTGAGGACTGGAGGAAGGCCAACATCACTCCAGTCTTCAAAAAGGGCAAGAAGGAGGACCCTGGGAACTACAGACCAGTTAGTCTCACCTCTGTCCCTGGGAAGGTGATGGAGAGACTCATACTAGATGTCATCTCCAAACAAGTTGAAGAGTGGGGGGTTATTGGAAGTGGGCAACACGGGTTTACCAAGGGTAAATCATGTATGACCAATCTGATAGCCTTCTATGATGCCATAACCGGTTGGTTGGATGAGGGGAGGGCAGCAGATGTCATCTACCTTGACTTCAGCAAGGCTTTTGACACTGTCTCCCATAACATCCTCATTGGGAAACTGAGGCAGTATGGGCTGGATGAGGGGACAGTGAGGTGGATTGAGAACTGGCTGTGTGACAGGACCCAAAGGGTAATTATTAATGGAGCAGGTTCAAGTTGGAAGCCTGTAACCAGTGGAGTCCCCCAGGGGTCAATACTTGGACCCGTGCTGTTTAATATATTCATCAGTGACCTGGACGAGGGGACAGAGTGTATCCTCAGCAAGTTTGCTGATGATACCAAACTGGGAGGAGTGGCTGACACCCCGGAGGGCTGTGCTGCCATCCAGCGAGACTTGGACAGGCTGGAGGGCTGGGCAAAGAAGAACCTCATGAGGTTCAACAGGGAAAAGTGTAGGGTCCTGCACCTGGGGAAGAAGAATGTCAGGCACCAATACAGGTTAGGGGTGGACCCGCTAGAGGCAACTACTGAAGAGAAAGATCTAGGGGTCCTGGTGGACAGTAAAATGGCAATGAGTAAACAGTGTGCTCTTGCGGCCAGGAAGGCCAATGGTATCTTGGGTTGTATAGGGAAGAGTGTAGCCAGCAGGTCAAGGGAAGTCATTCTCCCCCTCTACTCTGCACTGGTGAGGCCACAACTGGAGTACTGTGTCCAGTTCTGGGCTCCCCAGTTCAAGAGGGACAGGGAACTACTAGAAAGAGTCCAGCGTAGGGCTACAAAGATGATTCAAGGATTGGAGCATCTCCCTTATGAGGAGAGACTGAGAGAGCTGGGACTCTTTAGTCTGGAGAAGAGAAGGCTGAGGGGAGACCTTATCAACGCCTACAAGTATCTCAAGGGAGGGTTGAAGGAGGAGGGAGCCAGACTCTTTTCAGTGGTTCCCACTGAGAGGACGAGGGGCAACGGGCACAAGTTGGAATATAAGAGGTTCCACTCAAATATGAGGAGAAACTTCTTCACGGTGAGGGTGACGGAACCCTGGAACAGGCTGCCCAGGGAGGTTGTGGAGTCCCCTTCTTTGGAGATTTTCAAAACCCGCCTGGATGCAGTCCTGAGTAACATGCTCTAGCTCTAGGCAATCCTGCTTCAGCAGGGGAGTTGGACTAGATGATCTCTATGGTCCCTTCCAACTCTAGAAATTCAGTGAAATTCAGTGAAATTCAGTGAAAAGAAAATTATTAATTGAGTCCTACCATACCAAATTCCTTATAATGTTCTAGACTTCAGTATCCTCCATTAGTTGACCGTCTTCTAGACTGGGGAACCTTGTCTTAGTTAATCATTGCTTATATGAAGGAAGATTCGTATCTTTTATCTCACTTGTTGGCTTTTTCCACACGTTTCAGATCTGTTAGACTCTTAGACTCTTTTTTTTTTTTTTTGAAGTGAGCAGAACTGCACACAATTTTCAAGATACCATCAAAACATGAACGTCTATGGCGGCATAATGATATGCTCTGCTCTGTTAACTTTTTCTTTCCTAATAACTTGCAACCTTTGATTTTGTCTTCTTGACTTCTACAGAGCTTCAAGATGACTTTTCCAGAAATTCATATTTCCTAGACACAACATTTCATTCCTGAATGGAAGTGGACAGCCCAAACTCTGGATTTGAAACGTGGAGTTAAGGGTTGG